CCTTGAAAAATATTTAAACGGGTATAGAGTTTAAAGAAAATCACTTAACTGTGTTTTTTTTTTCAAATAGAATGATTTTTATTTAAAAATCATAAATTTAAATTTTTAAATTTAATTTGTTGAAATTGTATTGTTACGTTGCAGATCTCACTACAACAATAAATGCCACGCTGAGGAGGGAAACCAATTTTAAGGTGCGGAGCACTGAAATTTGGACTGTCCTAGTTAATCTAAATAGACAGCTCATATATAATTTTACTTTTATTTTTCTAAAAAATATTTGAATTTGTAGAATTTAAAATAAACATATAATTTCATCACTATCAGTACTTTAAAACTATTTTTCATATTTAAAAAATAAAACCTTAAATCTCAATCATTAAAAATACTACTCATAATACTCAATCTATAATCAGTGTATACGTTCGTTGGTTCTTCTCCACCTCCAGCCATTCTCTCTCTCTCTCTCTCTCTCTATCTAGCTCTCTATCTTCTTATTATTAGCTTCTTGATACTCTCTGCACTTTGTCACTTCCACTTTGTCCATTTATATATGTGTGTGTCCAACTCCTGTGTATCTCCGCTGAACTTCAAAGTCTGCTTATATTGTTTTGGATCAGTGATAGGCGACTAAATGATGATTTAAAAAAAAATGAAAAAATTGTCTTTTTTTTTTTTTTTAATATACCAAACTTCTAATGATTGCTTTGGTGTGTGCGAGGGATTATGTCTTAAGAAGCAAATTTTGTGTGTGGTTTGTTGGTCTCCCCTACACACACACACACACTACTGTTCTTTTCGGAAGTGACTCTCTGTAGTCTTATTGCAGCTAATAATGCTTTTTTTTTTATGGTTTAAAACTTATTAATTACTTCTCTGGTCTTATTTATAAGACACTTCCAATATAACACAGATTAAGAAAAACCTTAAAATGTATTAACTTTCTATTAAAATATAACAAATTTTCAACTTTACCCATATTTAATATATACACATTTCAAAAGAGATAACTACCTACACTATAATAAATAAAGGATTAAATAGTATATTCACACTAAAAATTTAATAAAGTGACTTATAAATAGAACAAAAAAATATTCTTTGTCTGCTTTATAAATAGGACCAGAGGAGTATATGACATGAAAATTAACAAAGTTATCAATTTTAATGTTATATGTTAAATCCATCATCTTAGAAGTCAAAGAGCTGAGTTTTAAAAATATAAACCAATATTAAATTAGGACATAATGAGAAGGGTTGTCTTACATAAAATGGAATATATGACACTTACTGCTTATACTCCCTTCCATCCTTTTTATAACAAACTTGGTGAAAAAATCGTTTTCTTTTTCCCTTTTTATAAGATATATACTCCTCCAATTTTAAATATAAATTCATTTTATAACATAATACTGTAAGACTCATTTGGTAGTATAAATTACACTATAAAATAAGTTTTATATTTAGGAATGGAAAGAGTAACATGAGTTATATATACACACACTCGTAACATTTTACTCATATGGAATGCAGCTTTTTTTTTTTTAATTTTTAAGCACGTGAAAAAGGGCTTCAGAAAGTGCGGTGGCTTCACTTGCGTCAGCAAGTGGCTAATTTCATTACGTGGGATTGTCGGATTGATGACTCCATTAAAGAATAAATCAAAGTTAAATGAGAACGAAATGATCCGTTCGTACATTTGTTTTAATTCTGTTCCGCAAAAAAGAAAACCACATACATTTGTATTGTGCGTTTAAATTAAATACAAAAACTTCCATTTGAAAAACTGCTTATTGCTCCGATAAGAATATCAAAGACAGTTTATAAAAAATTATTACTCTCCTTTTTTTGATGAATAAAAAATTATTACTCTCTCCTATAGTAAATATAAGCTACTTTCAAGTAATTTACACTTAATCAAGAAAAATAGTTCAATCTTACTTTAAGTATTAAACTATTATGAAAGTAAAATAATTTTTAAGATTATTCTAATTAATTACACTAAATATCTCTCTCATGCTCAATCCATCTCAATTATAAGCGAAAACTATCAAATTTTCTTGGTAGTTTCCAAAGAAAAAGAGACAAAACTATCGCATTATTACTCATCTCTTTCCATTTGGAATCTCCTCCTCACAGATTGGTTTTCTATACTAGATATCATTTCTGGGACTAGAGGTAATATGAAACTAAATACTTCCCATAATTTTTTTTTCCAAGTGTGGGGTGGTAGTGATGCATTTGAATTCTCTACAAAGAATATAATGAATATGTGAGTTTTTATTTTTTTTAAAAAAAATCTTGTTATTGTATTCTGCAAAGAGTAATCATAAAGTATCAAACAAGCGTGCCAAATATTAAATAACCTTTATAATTTCGTTAATATTTATACTATCATGTTTCAACGTTAATCAATTAATTAAAAGACAATACTTTCATCAAGTTTCTTATATCTATTATGCCAAGTTTTCCAATCATATATAACCATATATCATATTTTTAAAATATTAGCATTTAATTATAAATTTACAAGAAATAAAAAAAAAGACACATGGCAATAAATAATTGGAGAACTTGATATAATAAATATAAGAAGCTTGATCTGAGTTTCTTTTTAATTAAATACTTGACAATAAAAACAAAGCTTGGCATGCAAGAGTCATGACTTGCTTCTGCATGAATATAGGAAGATAAATATTCGTCAGGGTTGTGTCATTAATTTACGGGTACACGCATTTAGACCGATCAAAATAGCAGGAGATTGAATAAAATTTTATTATAACTTTTAAATATTTTATTTTATTTCAGACTTAGAAAGTATCTTTATCAAGGATTTTTTCATTGAAATTAAAAGATGATCCACGAGAAAGTGGATAGCCAAACTTTTCCATTCCAATTTTTGCATTTCGTGTCCAAAGATATTATTTCTATTATCTTGATTGATAGCTACATTTTTCTCTTCTTTATTTTGCCAAAATTACATTTTTTTTCTGACCAAAATTGTTCTTGATTATATTTTCATGAATTAAAAATATAGCTCAAGTTTTCAACATAAAATTGGCAGGTACATTTCCTTTTGTTGGCCAGTTCCATGTATACTACACTCAGTATCACTTGATAATGTTAAAGCATTGGTAAGAAGGCAGGTTTGTAATTTTTTCCCCCTCAATTGGGATTGTCGTATAAGACTTGCATGTGTTTATTCCGAAAAATGTCTTAATATTTCTTTCTATTTATATAATGTTGCAGGGTTTCATTGAAAGGAAATCAGAACGTGAAGAATGACAGCTAGAAGGCTTTAGGCGATGCCACTCCTTTACTTTTATTACCCCACTTTTTTATTTGTTGAGGAGAGCAACCGGGGGGGGGGGGGGAATCCTAAAATTGTTATTACCTTTACCTGCAACCTGTGACACAGTACCACTTGTCTGGGAAATAGTTCTTTCTTTAATGTTAATTGGACTTTGTTTTCAAATGACCCAAAACCTTGACCCATCATTGCAAATGCTTACCCACCCCGTTAAACTAGCCCATTTCACATTTCTTTTTCTGCATCTTTATGATTTATTGTTCATTCAGTATTTCGGTTTTTAATAATGTACGTCCGCGGATATACCCCATGTTCTTAAATTTTTGAACCAAAAGCGCTTTGACAAACTTATTTTTTGAAGCGTATTTTTCAACACACGCACACACTAAATCGTGAAGAAACTTTTTAGAAAAAAAAGTATTTTTCTAATTCTTATGAAAAAGATCTTGACTTGTTCGAATTGTGCAAAATTGGATATTCAGTCTCAAACTTACCAAAAAAAAAAAAACTTGATTCCTTACATTCTGATTACCTATTCTCCTCAAAACCATATGATAAAAATTTATAAGAAAATTCGGGCATGAAATTTTCCTTCTACTATAAAATTGGGAAAAGTGTTGTTGGAAATTGTGTGGGTGTGTCAAAAGAACAAATTCTACATTGCTTAAGAGAGTGAAAGCACAAGTCTATAAATACTAGCTTGTACTTTTGGGCTATTGAATGGGCCTAGAGGAGAAGGAGGACGATCTTACGCGCACAACTATGGGCTATCGGAGGCAAACACAGTGGAAATCCAACGATTTCCCCCCTGCGTGTGAGTTAAAGGCAAATTGAGCACCTTTTAATTAGACGCTTTTTGCAAAATCCAAAAATAATTTAAACTTATTTGAGAACCATGATTTTATTACATTTGAATTTTGAAAGCCTACCGTTTGGTTTTTTACACTCCATTAATATGTCATAATGGATTTTTAATTGCAAAACGTACAGGTTAATTACAATTAACATTCAAAACATATGTTACTCAGATTTATTACTGTAATATTCGTAACCGAGACTTTAAACACAATTAACATGATTAACTCGGGGCCCAACGTCTCTTGAGTCTTATCTTTTACCTTCTGCTGTTTTGTTCACCCTGTTCTTACAGGACGAGTCCATTTAATCTTGGAGAGTGCCGCTGTCTCGTCTGCCGGTGGTCGCGGAATAACTTTTAGAGACATTGTTCGTAGGATGTAACTCAAACTAACTATTTTCTGCATGTACTACCGCTAGCAAGTATAAGAGGGAATTAATAAAAAATAGAAAGTAACTCTCGTTCAGTTCAAGTACTTGATACATGTATTACATTTAAAGGCCCTCAGTAGTGACTATCACATAAAGAAAAGAATTAATATTCATAATTGTACATATTGCAGCATTTGAAAGGTAATCATATTAGGATTTAGATATTAGAAAATCAACCTTTTTGGAACCTATGAGGTATAAATTTAATGCCATTAAACATGGGGTTAAAGTTATATAATTAAACATGGGATGTATTCAAAAACCATGGTCGCTAGAGATTATGGACATCCACAACATTCGTATATAACACGTACTCTAAAATTATAGAATAAAAACTAAGCATAAACCCAATGTATCAATTCATCCACAAAGGGGCAAACTAGTAATCTAGTATATATTGGCCAATGTATATACAACACACACCATAAGGCTCTACGTAGTAAAGCAGAATCTAAATTACATCATTTACAAAGTAAAATAGCACTTTGACCCTAAACTCTTAGGTCAATATTCCATGGTTTCAAAGTTTCATGCACCTTATTACTAAAGATACTTATGACCTGTCATCGCTAAGATAACAGTAACAAAAAAAGTACTAATATGCAGCGATATATTACATTCGCGAACTAACTCCTTCAAGCTCAACCATCTTTGAGGACGAAAGCATTTAACGATTCAGGATCTAAATGACAGTTCACTTTGGACATTATAGGCACGCTCAAGTACGTTGAGCTCTCATGCTTTAGAAGCCGTTGTTTCGGCACCTTTACCACCTTCGGCCTCTTTCTGATGCTTAAGAAATACCTCCTTACAGTAATATTCTCCCATCTACACATATTGTTTCATAATTGAAACACATGTTGATGCAATAATAATAATGCCTAAATTTCGATTGCATTCATTGATGAATTCTAAGGTGAGATATATGGTTCATGATTTCCATAAATTGTGGGCTTCATGACAATAATTCAAACTTGTTGAAAAGATTTTCGTGAGGTTAGGTGAAGATTCAAAAAATTGACCTTAATATTAGGGACAATATTTCTCACTTATTCCTTAATATTAAGAGCTATGTAATATATCTTTCAAATGGAAGGATCGATTCGGTTGAAACACACCTGTGTAAGGAGTGAATAGAGAGGTAGCGTGTTATAGCTGCAAAGGACCTGAATGAATACTCTGAAACCCCAGCACAAAGAAGAAAGAAAAGATTAAACTTCAGGATTCATCAAATAGGTTAAAAAAGGAACAATGTTGAACTAGCATATATAGGACCCCAAAGTTTCATTTAGTTTCAAATAATATAGTCTCTCTATAGTTTAAAAATTTGAGTCCCTAAGAAAATCTACTACCCCCAATCAATGGAGAATGCAAATTGAAGATCAACCTTGTAAAAAATGTTAGCGTCCAATTGGAACCTTCAAGTTGTATATATGAAAGTTTCAAGTTATAAATTTAGAAGTTCCAGTTGCAGACAGGTCCTCATTTTACTTTAATTCCCTTAAAAGGTCTTCCTCGATCCTATATTTAGCATCGTAGGGAATATTATCTAGACATGTAGTTTGCCCAAATTAAGTGAAACTCTAACGGCTAACAGCATATAATTCACAATTGTGAAAGGGAAGGAAGTGTTAATAGTTACCCAATAACGAGCCTGACGATGACGTAAGCGAATTGTCCCATTACGCAGGCGTGAGGGCTATAAGCAGTCTTAAGCTGAATCATATATACGATTATATGCATAAATATCAATTAATTATGTGAACCCATAAGGGCAAATGAAAGTGGAAGCTAAGGAGAAGAAATAATAGAATTTGCTCACCCATGTCCAGAAGAAGAATGCAATCTCAAAAGAGTTCTGGAAAAGGATGAAGTGAATCAATAAGAGAACAAAGGAAGGCCGACGGAACCAAAAGTGATCATCAGCATTGCTTGCATCTACTCCACGAACTAATAGCATAAGTACATGCTCCAACTTAGTGCCAACTGCTAGCAGAAGCTGACACGGAGTAATGCAAATCAGTACAATAGAGTAATATATATATATCTAGAGAGAGAGAGAGAGAGATAAAAGAAGGGGCATGGATGAAAGAATCTTAGAGAAAAATCATAAGCAAGAATATAAGCAGTTGAGGATATGAAGTTGCATGGTGAGCTGAAACAAATGGTGAGACATGATGTATCCTGAAGCTTAATAAATTTCCACTAAAAGTGAAATAAATCTTAGAACGATACTTACAATAAGTGGAATAAACGCTATCCAAAAATATGTGTACCAGCCTGTAAGAACAAAGAGAAAATCAAATATCTGAATTTGGAGACAACTGGAAAATCAAGAGAAATAATTAGATAACCATACCATTAACATTAATTAAGAAGAAGATAACCACAAAGATCCACAGGTACCAACTGCAACCAAAATTACAGAATCAGTTCCCAAAGATATTTAAAATCAAATTGAATACCCAGAAGCACTTACCTTATGCCAAAAACATATATAAAATCAACTTCAAGGGCTTCTATCATATATTTGTGAAAATTAAACATCGGATTTGCCTCGCGAATCTACAACACAAAAATATACAAGAATGATCTTGACATCCACTTGAGAGGCTACTTGAAAAGAGCTTCAGATCAAGGATTAATAGGCACCGAACTTCACATTGCACGCCCTCTTAAACTTACTTTCATAAACTCCCTTCTTAATGTCACATAATCCGATTCATTTACGGACCCACAAAATTGCTTCCAAAAACAATGCTGCAAGAAACTTGCAAGATTAGGATGAACAACTAAAACTCAAACAAAATCTCCAATAAGGGAATTTAAGTTGTTTTTCATCAGTGATATGAATATATATATACACTCCACGGATTCTAAATGTAATATCCATTTTGCAGTATTATTTACACTACAAAATAAGTCTTACATTTAGGAACGTAAGAGTATATAATAATCAATTCTCAGTTTTGGATTAAGATATATGAACAACTTACCAACCAAGTCATCAGATTATAAGTGCCCCTTCCTTGCGGATCTGCAGTAATCCAATTAGCATATAATTATAAGGAGCCATGAAGAAGAAAAATACCCAGAAAGATATATAGCTTTTACAGGAGTTAAACAGATACTGTTTGTTAGATTAATTAATTCTTGTTAGTGGTTGCTTGGTCCATGAAAACAAATTAAAAAGATAAAATTGACAAAGGAGGACTTGAAAAACATCTACACCAAAGAGACTACAATTTGACTAAATGATTGAATCACTTACGTACCTATCTGATCCGCTTCAGCAGTTGAATCCCTCCAGTACCTCCAGTGTCGTATCTATATAACAAACGGATGGATATTTAACAAAGAAAGAAAATTGGGAGCATGAATTAATAGTTTATAATAGAAAGTGTCTCAGATACTTACTTTGAGTTTTCCAATGAAAACTGTGAGAACACAATAGATCACATGGACTATAGCAAGAGTGAATATGAAGATATGCAGGTCGTGGATGGCCTTAAGGGATATCAATGGAACCTTTTTCTGAAAGAAAATGAAGGGATAATGTACAAAACGGTTAAATGATCTTATATAGTTCAAGAAACTTAAAAGGAAAATTCATGGCGTGAATAACTGAAAGGGTTATTATGTCCTGACTCTGAGAGCCTCCATAACTATTGTGATTATTATGATATCTGAATGTTTGTCCTTTTATTCTTTTAGAAGAAAAAATGCATATTTAGTTATTTAAATTTCATTTTAAGTTCCTAATTTTTGTAAAATATCGTTTTAATCCTTTAACCTTGATGCATTAACCAAAAATGTTGATATTAAAATTTTAAATGTTGAAAAAATATTCTTAAATGCTAACATATTATGTTTAGACTTTTAAATGATAATAATTGTTAAAAAAATTATCATTTACAATTAACAGTATTAAGGTCTAAGAACTAAAAATTTAATTTATAAAGAAAGAGGACCAAAAGGGCACTTTTGCCCCTTGAAACTCACCAATGTCAAGTGATGAAGAAAACAGTTTGCCATTTTGATCCTCATCAGGTACCAAAATTTGGCCAATCTAGATTTAAAATTTTTTTTACTTTTATTTTTTGAAAATATTTAAATGAGCAAAAAGTTTAAAGGGGAACCAATTTCAAGGTGATGAGTACTAAAATTTGGACTGTCTTAATCAAAATGGACAGCTCAGATATAATTTTACTTTTACTTTTTAAAAAAATATTTTAATTTTTGTAGAATTTAAAACAAACATATAATTTCTTCACTATCAGTACTTTAAAACAATTTTCATATTTAAAAAATAAAACTTTAAATCTAATCATGAAAAATACTATTCATAATACTCAGTATAGTGAGTGTCATAGCCAGCGACTTGGTTGGAGTGAGGAATTAATGTGGAAATGTTATGTTACCGGATCAGTGCAATATCCGGTTTTGGCATCAGATGATGGAGGCGCCGCCGCAGCAAGAAGATGACGGACAGTTGCAGAATGATTATTAGGTTTCGCCCAGCAAGGTGTCATATCATCGGTCACCCCCGGCGACACGCAGATTTTTACGATCCTTTTTTCCGAAACCGTCAGAAGCAGCGATATGAAACCCAGCAGCATCAACTCTGAAAAGTTTAAAAAACATTTTCAAAATTAATTTAGATGAACTCAAGAAGAAGAAAAGGTTGAGAGCTTATTATTAGTAGTTACAGCTACAGAACCTTCTTTGATTTTCTGAAGAGCTTCGTAGAGGGCCGTCTTTTGCTTCTCCTTCAGGCGCTCTCCGGCACGATGAAGAAGACGTTCTACACCATATGAAACGCCCACGATGACAGTGTAAACGACGGCTACAACCCATGTAGGAGTGAATCCGTCGGCAGTAGCTTCCCCACCTCCAGCCATTATATTCTCTCTCACTAGCTTTCTATCTTCTTATTTGCTTCTTGCTACTAATCTGTGGACTCTCTGCACTTTGTCACTTCCACTTTGTCCATTTATAGATGTGCGTATCCAAGTTCTGTGTACCTCCACTGAGCTTCAAAGTCCTCTTGTATTTTTTTGGATCTCAATGAAAGGTGTGTAAATTACGGGAAATTTTTTTAAAAAAAAATTTGTAAGATTTTTTTAGGTTTGATGTTATCTTTATTCTCTAAAATTTGACCTGATTTTAGTTTTGGTCTTTGAAATTTAAGACTAATAGTTTTGGCTAATAGAATAGAATTTGACTTCATTTTGATCAGTTTAAAATTGTTTATACATTTTTTAAGGACCAAAGTCAAAATGAAATAAAATTTTAAAAATCAAAGATGATCTTAATTTTTTTTAAAAATATATATCAAGAAGTAAATTTTTCGGTTTCATATACTCTTCGTTCTTTTCATAAGTTATTCGCTCAGTAATTTTATTGCAACTAATGAGTAGTTTAGAACTTACTATAACTATATGACATATGCAAATTAGCAACATTTTCAATTTTACTCTTATATATTAAATCCATCCTCGTGGAAGTCAAAGAGGAGTTTGAAAAATATAAACGAATATTATATTAGGGCATAAAGAGAAGAGTTCTCTTACATAAAATGTAATATAGGATACTTTTTGCTTATACTCCCTTCAATATCTTTTTTATAACACAGTTGATGAAGGAATCTTTTTTTCCTTTTTATAAGATATATAGCATATGAGTTATATGTATAAGATTTTTCTCATATGGAATGTTTTTTTTTTTTAAAAAAAATGTTTGAGTAGGTGAAAGAAGGGTTTCGTCAGAAAGCGACAATATTATTGTAGGAAGAAAAACGTGGTGCCTTCACTTGCGTCAGCAACTCGCTACTTACATTACGTGGGATTGATGACTTCATTACAGAAAAGACCCATTCATCCATCTGTTTTAATTATGTCGGCCAAAATAGAAAACGACATACATTTTTATTGTACATTTAAATTAAATATAGAAACTTCCATTTGAGAAACTGCTTATTAGCGATTACTCTGATAAGAATAGTAAAGTTAGTTTATTAGATACTTAATATAATTAGCTACTTATTAGAGATAACCCTATAAGATTTAAAAATCACCATACTCATAATTAAAAATTTTCTTAATTCCAGTGATATATTTCTTAATTTTGATGAAATATGTTAAAAATAATTTTAGGACTAAATAAGTATTTACTATATATTTTCTGATATTCAATGGATTTTCTTATTTTAAGTAGGTGAAAGAAAGGGTCCATACAAAAAGTGACTAATTTGTTTTAGGAAGAAACGTACGTGTTGCCTTCACTTGCGTCAGCAACTAGCTAGCTCCATTCATACATTTGTTTTAATTGTGTTGTCCAAAAAAAAAAAATACATACACTTTTATTGTAAATTAAAATATAAAAACTTTAATTTGATAATGAATATATATCAAAGATATTTGATAAAAAAAATTATTATTATCTGCCATATGGTAAATATAAGCTGCCTTCAATTAATTTATACTTATCAGGAAAAAAGAGCCAAATCCTAGTTTCAGTATTAAATTATCATAAAATTAAAATATTTTTTAATATTATTCTGATGAGCTATATTAAACGCTATTATCAGGCACCGTCCATCTCAATTATACGAAAACTACCAAATTTTCTCGGTAGCTTCCAAGAATAAAAAGACAAAGCCATCGCATTATTACATATCTCTTTCCATTTGGAATCTGCTCATTAGATTTCTTTTGCTTAGTCAAAAAGAAAACAAATCATTGCATTGGAAATTCGAGAGTAATCACACTCAATTACCTTTCACAATTAGTGTGTGGGGGACAATGCGTAATAAAGTTTGTTAAAAAGAAAGAAAAAAGACAGGAAGTGTAATAATGCACCTTATGGCTTTTGCTGACGATGCATGGTGGTTACAAAAGTTTTAGGATGATTGGGGAGAAAAGAAATTGAAAACTCCTTGAAATTTGATATTATTTTAGTTTTGGTTCTTAAAATTTTAAACCAGTGATTTTGGTTTCTAAGATTTGGCTTCATATTTGTCTGCCTAAAGAATTTTAGTCTTTGAAATAGTGTTTTAGTCCTTGAGACAAAGATTAAAATCAAATTTCAAGGATTAAAACTACCAGTTTTCAATTTTAGAGACCAAAATTAAAATGAGGTCAAATTTTAAGAATTAAAACTATTCGTTTCAAAGTTTAGGGACCAAAACCAAAATAAAGTTAAATTTTATAGACTCAAAGATAGTACTGACTTTTATATTAAATGTATAAGTTAAATAGAAAACCAATAGTTTTCAATTATTTTCTTATTAGAAATATCTGAGCTAATAAGTTATACAAAGGGTAATCAGGAAGTATCAAACAAGTGTGCCAAATATTAACTGACCTTCATAATTTTCATTAATATTTGTCTAGCTATTGCAGAATTGATGGGACCATCAATAGCCTCCATTTTTCTAAAAAGATTGTAAGAATATAGCTATTTAGTCTGATCATATGGGTTTATTAACCTACTACCTCCGGTCTAAAAAGTTGTCTATTATATTTATCTATTTTATTCAATACAGTTTTTGTAGTAATTGTACATGTTAAAAATTTTATCAAATGACAATTCTAACTAATATACATGATTAGTAAGAATATTTTAGGAAAGATAACACCTATTTATTATAAATCACTAATTTAACTAATTTTTTTAAGTTATTCAAATTAGTCAATTTGTTTTTATATTAAGCACTGGAGGCAATACTCAACAATGAAAACAAAGCTTCTCATGCATGAGTCATCATTTACCACAACATGAACATAGGAAGAAAAATATTCGTCAAAGTTTGTCATTAATTTATGGCTATATTATTATTTCTTGACACGTATTTAGGCTGATCAAAATAGCAGGTGATTAAATTAGTTTTTATTATAACTTTCGAATATTTTATTTTATTTCAGACTTAGAAAGTATTTTTGTCAAGGATTTTTAATTAAAAAGATGAAACACAAGAAAGTGGACAGCTAAAATTTTCCATTCCAATTTTGTCATTTTTGGTCGAAAGATATCTATTATCTTGATTGTTGTTGTCGATTACATTTCAAGAATTAAAAATATGGCTTGAGGGGCCAATTTGAAATTTTTCTTCTTCTCAAAGCTAACTTCAAATTGGTAGGTATACACTTCCTTTAATTTTTTTCAATAACCAGTTTTGAACAAAATATATACTCGTCAAAGGTCATCTGGTATATTTGTGTGTATGTGTGTGTGTAAGTTGGTGATCGATTAAAGCAAAAACATATAGGGTCACAGAATAAGATATTTAATGAAAAACGTCAAAACATTGTCTTTTTTAAGTGGTTATTCTATTAATATAAAAGTGATAAATCAATAAAGAAAATGCGAAATCAAACTTACAATTAAAGTTTCTAGCAAAATACAAGATTATATTTAAATTGAATGAAAATAGGAAATAAGAAAGAAATTGATTGCCAATAATCTCTTAATTCAATGGTTCTCCACAACTTCTCTCATGCAGGAGGATGGAGGTTCTATATTTCAAAAATGCAAAAATTGGGGTCCGTGTGTTTGGGTTCCTTCCTTATAAGGAGGGTTAAATTATTGGGACAAAGAAAATGAAAAAGAAAAAAGTTTATAAACAACTCAAACTTTGGGGATTTAATAGAGAGAATGTGAAAACTTTTTATATGAAAAGAATTGTTGCCCCATGTACTGCACTTGGGTGCCTACCACCCAAAACTCCACCGTTCAAATTAAAACATGATGTTTGACCAAAAAAAAAAAAAAAATTAAAACATGATGGTTTAGATTTAATATTAATTTATTTCTATTATTTAAAAAAATATAAAATATAAATAAATATAACCTTTTAAGTATTGGCATGCGAAAAACGAAAATTTATAATTTAAAAATTATAAATTGAAAAATTTAAGTTTAAATTGTTCAAATCATCGGTTTGTCTAGATTAATGGTAACAAAAGTGACTTTTATTTTAACTGACTTTTGCAAATTAAATCTAGAATAAAATTTAATTAGTATAATATAACTTATACTTGGATATTATTTTATTAAATAAGTCAGATTGACATAAACTTATTAGAAAATTTAAATTTACAGAAAAACTAAAAGCCAAAAAGTTATCTTGTGGGAAGAAAAAAGGGAGAATGGTCTTTTTTTTTTTTTGGTAACTGGAGAATGGTCATTGAAAGCATTGGAAGTGACACTATATTGGGCCGAGTTACATTGGGCCCATTACTTGTAACATGTTTTCTTGTCCCCATAATAAGTGGTGTTGAACCCAACTCCCTCTTTAAATTCCACTTCAATGTCATGCTCTGGGCCTCTAAGCTATAAGCCAATCTCTCCACTTAGGGGGGAAGTGACAATTTGGATCTCCTTTGCAATAATGACAGCTAATGTTACGTTCTACTGTTTTATATATTACTAAGAGCTTGTGAATATTACAAAAATTACTTAACTTAATTGTTTCTCATAAATGTATGTTGTTTTTCCTATAATATACTTTTTCTAATTATATCTAATTATATGTATTGTAACTATCATTTAACAGAAACTTCCTTATTATGTACAATCTAGGGATATTTTGGAAAAAAATTATAAATTGGGAGACAAAGTGGATTGAAATATTATATTTAGAACCAAAACAAATCCCTTATCTAATTTTTGTAATTAGGGTCGGAGGTAATACTATTCACTTACATTTTGCCAACTTGTTGGACTCTTTTTACGTGTGACAGTTATTTACAAAACACAATTTCGTTTTTTTTAATTATGTGTAAAGTGAGAAAAATGGAGGAGAAGCGACATACAAATTCATTATTATGGCTGATATCTTCAAATTATTAGCAAAACGGAACAAATCTACAAGTAAAACAAACAAATAGCTAGATATTCA